TAATAAAATATAACTAACATATTATAATTACTACGATTTTCAAAGTATTATGATTTATGACAAGATATACTTATTATAGTAATCATATTTTATATTCATCAAAGTTTCGACTTTCAGGGTGCTATAGGTGGGCCGTCATAAATACATTTATAATTAAATTCATGCAATTTTTTCGTTCTCGATAATATTTAGTATTAGTATTTATATAATAATCATTCTATATGACAAAATATAACATGATTTATAACTTTTAATTCAAATAACAAGTTCAAATATTATGTTGAATGGCTTAATAAAGGAATTGCTGTTATCTCGTCTATTTTCAAATATATAATCTGCAGTTGCACCAGACTTATAAACTATTTTTCTTTGTTACCTTTCATAACATTCATAACATTCTGAACATTCAACTATTCATAACATTTCTAACATACACAGTGATTATTTTTTTTTTCGTACGCAATTTTGCATACATTAAATTTCAACTTTTTCTATATGTGGTAATGCTGAAAAAAATACGACCATGAAGTGCGTAATGTGTAAAGTTTAATTTCTATACGTCTCGTCATAATCATTAACTCTGCAGATTCAGGTCAAAAAATTGTGAGCGTTTTGACGTAGGTAGGTATAGCCGTATAGGTAAATAGTTTATTTTTCGATTATTTCAAAATTAATAATTCTCGTTTATCACAAATAATGGTTTTGTAGTAATTTCTATGATGAAACTAGCAAACCCGTACCCACAGGTTACTCTATGATATTATATTTTAACATTTTCGTCTATCAATAATTTTATCTTGATTCTTGAGTATATACTTGTTACTTGTATCAAATGAAATGTACGTTTAAAATTATACTAAATTATTACCTACCTACCTACTTACCTATATTATGTTGTTAACGTCTATTATTTTCCTAACATTTACGACTATATAGGCAATGCTAGAAATAGCGATCAGCCATTGAAGGTGAAATATGTCCTGTATTAATGTACTCGCGTACTATATTATAAACTATACACATCGGGAACTTTTAGTTTTTCCTACAAACGAATTCCGTTAAGTCAATGCAATATAATTGTTATGTTTGCTTCTATATCTTGAGCTATATCACTGTTTGGAATTCCAATTGTTAATGCACATGTTATTGTTAAGAGATTCCATTGTCATAGATCATATACTATATGTATATTATTATTGTGGAATTTGAAATACTTGTAATTGTGTTTGTGGAATCGACGGACTGCCATAAAAAGTTAGACGAGTGAATCAAAATACATCGGCAACAGAAAAATGTGTTATTAATGTTTAAACGTAGGCTGGACATAATAAAATACGAAAAGTTGACATGTACCTGTGTTTTTCAACCACGTTAAAGAATTTACAAAAAATTAATTCATTTTTCTGATTTTTGGTTACGAAATGATAAAAATCTCCTTGAAATAACATTCTTATGTACTGTATAATAATTTTAGATTTAGAAACACAACATTTTTATTCCAGACTATTTCGTATAACTATAATAATGCGCAAGTATAAAACAGAAATAAGAAATCACTAAAATTGTATTAGTAGTAGTTTAGCTTATAGTTTTTTTCGGGTCGTTTTAAATCGTTTGAGGAAACTTGCGAGTCGAGACACGAACAGAAATAAACAATGTGAGTTGACACTTTCATTTGTTTGACAGTGATGAATATATTTTTAAAACATCTAACTTATTGAAATCCCGCAAAATGCTTATAAAGTATTTTTATGATAAAATAAAAAAATATAATATAATTTAGAATGTTTCTCATCGTGACATTTCTCAAATCATGTTAGACCCTATATATTAATGACAATATAATAATATAAATAATATTTGATAATATTAATATCTATCGTTCTTATTACCTAGTTATTAGTAAGTGCAATGTATATAATATAATTATTATTGAACTTAAACCGTTGTATTGTTGTAATATTCATCATAAATTTTAATAATCAAATAATTATTTATTGCCTTGGCTTCTGATATTTCGTAAAAGGATAAAAAATACCTACAAACTATAATAATAAGATGATAAACGGTTTAGTGTAATTATATGGATCTCGGGATTAAAAACGATAGTGCCTATATATTTTCATTTATTCTTCGAGAAAAATTTAGTCTCTGGGAAATATTTTTTTCCTCTATTAGGAGGTACCTACCTATACCAAGTGTTTATAATGAATTTTAAAATTATTATTGTAAATGAATAATATTTGTTACCGTGAGCAACATTCTTGTTTTTTTTCTTTTTTTTTCGCGTTTACATTAATAGAAGCTTATTTATTGCGTATATAAATCATTAGTGTCTCCGTAAGGAAAACACGTCTGTGTGCGCAATAAAGCACCCAACACTCACTGACGCTTTTTGTGGTAACCACAATACGCGTTCAGTGTTTCGTATGTTTTGTTAACAACGATTCGCATATTCAAAAGGTTTTTATTATTAATAATTCTTTTTTTTCGTCATTCACATGATGTCTTATCGAACAATAGATATATGACGAATATAGTGTCAACGCCGTCTGGCTTGCCAGACACATTAATTTTTCATATTTAATCCCATTTGCTGTTTTGACGGACGAGCCGAGTATAACTATGTAACTACCTACCTATAAGAGTGTAAACATGATTTTTTTATTAGATAAGATTTATTTTTATTAAACCTCTCTTTAAAAACGAACAGCAATTAATATTAAAAGTTCATAAAATGATTATATTTTTCCGGAATGTTGCTTTTATATTCACACTGCACGTCCCTCAGTTGACTATTTTTCATTCTAAAATATTTATATTTGAATTATTATTGTCCATTCATTAATTCATTTCTTATGCTTATGCGCGCCATGTTAGTCATTTGAAGAAATTTGTGGAATATCTCCAAATAAATTAATTATTAATACGATTTGCTTCATGATCAGTTTAAAAAAAGTATTGTGTTTTAATGATTTTAAACCAAAGTCCAATATATTTTTTTTAAAGTTCATAAAGAAATTATTTGTATTGATAAAACCTTAATAAACCCTAGTCAAGTAAATTATCATTGAACTTTGGTCTTGGATCGAACACTCTCTTTCATAATTGTATATATTTTTAAATTAATTTAGTTTTAGAGTGACTATATTGTCAGTATAATATTATATAATATTTATTTATTATATTATTTTGAATAGCCAATATTATGTAAGTACTGGAGTTTTAAATAATAATTTAAAAATGAACATATTTCTAAATATGTATATATTATGATTAATATTAATTTGTTTTGGTCATTTAATATACTACGAATTGTGTATCGAATTACGGCCATTACACAATTTATAAATAACTGGAAATTTACAAATTGTTGATTTTTATGGGTTTACACTAATACATTCGCTATTTAATATTCGTAGATGTTTAAAGTTTAACCCGAATATGAATATAGAATAATACTATTTGAAGCATTGCAACATAACTACGATGAGTTGTTATGTGAACAATAATTAGTGTTTAATAAATATATCAAAAGTATAACTGTTTTTAAAAATACTTCACTAAACGTAATTTTAATTTTTTTTTATTTTATTCCTAAGCAGAAGAATGTTTTTATAGTAATATTTATGTGTATAAAAAAAGGAATTTCTAACGAGTAGTTAATTAGTTAGACCTTATAAATTATTTTAAGTATTTTGAGTTTATATAAGTGGTCCAACATTTCACTAGGACCCATGAGCGAGCACTTTATTCTACTCATCAGGACTTAAAACACTCAAAATATGACGTTAATTAATATTAAAACACTTATAAGTTATTATTAATTAACGAAAAATTTTGATTTTGATACATAACAATTCTTTGGGAATACGTTACTTCGGAATGTGAATTAAAAAATATGTGATCATTCAAAAAAGTAAAAAGCTTCATAGATAATATTGAAATTAATTCAAATTATATATACAAAAAAACTTATTTCAGCAACTTAAATAATTTAGTGATAAAAACTGTTAACTATTAACTGTTTATTTTTGTAATAATAATTTAAGATGTTATTTATCATTAAAAGAATCAAATTACAATTTAATACTAGGTATCTATTCTTTCTAACTTTGACCAAATGTACTTATCATAATAAATATTAAAAAAAATGAAGATCTGGAATGTTTTTTTGGATATAATTTCAAAAATATAGTTGTGACTGTTGACTCACGTCGGTAGAGAAGAGCATTGACCCAAGACAATACTACATGTCCACATACAACTGTTTACAAGTTATGTGCAAAAGTTTAATAAATAATTGAGTGGGCTATGTAGATATAATGATTATAGGTACCTACTAATAATATCGTTACATTGATCAATCAATTTTCGTCTAATCGCATATATTTTATCCAATGTATAGAAGAGTCAATAGAACTATAGAAGTCTATTATTTATTTCTTGCAAGTTCTGATGTGTTATATGTGAAAAATATTAAAAAATCTAAGGTTTGGAGGGTTTATAGATATAATTTCAAAAAATATAGTTGACCCGAGATATAGAGAAAGGCGTTGACACATGAAAATACTACATGTCTGCATACAATATTGAATATAGTATAATACTATTAAAATGTTAGGTGCAAAAGTTTTTCATAAAGTAATTTAGTGGGCTATGTAGGTACTTACTAATAATATCGTTACATTGATACTTTTTTTCCGTTTGTTCGTATATCCAATACATTGTATACATAAAATGTACAGAATTTTGAATACAATAGTCTGTGGTTTATTTATTGCAATTTATGATGTGTTATATGCCTGTAATATGCCAAAAATCTAAGTTTTGGAATGTTTTTGAATTTGTACCTATTACCTAATAATATCGTTGTATCGATCAATTGATGTTCGCCCGATCGCACATAATAAAATATCCTTTACATTGCACACATAAAATGTACTAAATAGGTATTGAATAGAATTAGTAGTCTATCTCGCGATTATTCACCGCAAGTTATGATGTGGTGTGCTATATGCGCCTGTATACGTGAACCCACGTCGTCGTTATATGACGATAAAAACAACCATCCAATGGCGTGTATACAGCCGATATTATATGGGAAACTATCTTCGGACGAAGGTTTATTTGCATCAAGGTCGCGGTTGCATTATATCGAAGCTGAATCGGTGCCGACAACAATAGATCCGACTGAGACGCTTGAAGACATCAATGAGGAGAGGTGTATCAGACGTAGAGGATCCGTCTGGCCAAAGTCAACTCTGCGGTATGTTGACTTCGCAGCGGGGAGACGCGCCCAATAAAAAAACCATGTTATCATTGTAAGACGTCGTGCGACGAACATTTTACCGGAAACGATTCATCTCTTGTTCACGACGATTATACACGTTTGACTTGCCCAAACTCTGAAGCTAACCGAAAGTATTATAATTATATGTGTTTTATCTACCCGTTCAGGCACCTATATAATAATACAGTGTAATATTCATTCATATCAAGAAACAGTCGTTTTATCAGTAAATCAATGTGTTTTTGGAAAACATTATTTTTTTTTACATAATTTGAATCCATTACAACACAGCATTTTGGGGGAAACAATTATTTCGATAAAATAACCGTCCTGTATATTGAAATATATTATAAAATATAAATTATACGTTTGTGCAGGGTTTTCATGATCGTATTATTTTCACTCGCAGAGTGTGCTCACACGTGGTTGTGTAATTACTTACAAATGTACATTAACCTGGACTAATGCTATTTCACAATATTTTTGTAAATCGGATATAGGTAAATCAATTACATAAAACCACAAAAGTGCATAATGTTTCATAAAAACCACCCTATTTAAATGACAGCTGTAAAATGTAGTCACCACATTACTTTTTTTTTGTGGAAGAGTAATTTTCCAAAATATTTTTGGAGCAGTATAGGTATATACTTACTGAGATATACTTTTTTATAAAAGTAATATATTAAATTGTTTTTTTTTAGCAAAATATCCAAATGAATCGTTCATACTTACTTATAAGAAATCAATTTTTGGAACATCGATTGAGGGGTAAAAATATAATATGTGTAGGTACAATAGCTGTGGTGGTTATTATTATGAAATAAACAAAGTCAAAACATAACACTATTCTCAAATGGTTATTTTTGTCTGATCGTTAAAAATAAAAACAAGTTGTTCATTAATTTTGTTGATTTTAAATTCGAATTTTAAGTCGACATATTTTATCATAATATAGGTAGTATACCTACTAGGTATATTATATTTTTTTTATTAATAATTTGTAAAATACAGTGAGTAGGTATATGTTTATAAATTATAAGTCCATTACAAACAAATACAATTCCTATTTTTTCAAACATAATTGAAAGAATAAAACGTGTTTTTTTATCCAAAAAAATTTAAATTTGTGTATTTCGTCTCGTTCTATAATATGAACGATTTATTATATAAAATATATGGTACTCCATAGTAATAGGTATATAATCGAACGAAACACGTGGAAAATAAATGTCACTGTTAAACAAATTATACGACTAGGTTAATTTATTTTAACGTTCTACACTACCTTTCGTGGTATGGAACATTTTTATGTAAAACTTGGTCATATATTATAAATTAAAGACCAAAGTATACCTATGCTACTATTTTTTTCACGTATATTAACATTTAAAATAATTTATGGTGAAGACTAATTGTTTAGACCTTGATGCAACGACTGTACTAGTTAATGTCATTTTAAAATTCAATAATTTTATAAATATAACACTATATAATATAACCATTAAAAGTAAAACCTGTGTTTTCAGGTGAATTATAATTTACGAGGATTACTTTTATGTAAAAACGTCTGCGCATACAAACAAAAAATATTTCATCTACAGGATATACAAATACATTTTTCTACAAAGATAATTAATATTTTATTCTTCAGAATTTCTATTGAATATAATTATAACTTATAAGTAATTTATTGATTTTTTTTTTATATAGAAAGCACTCACTAAAAATGTAATACTTATGAAATATTACATTTCACACATTATAATATGTATCTAAAAAAGTAAAGTTTTTAATATTATTAAAATTAAACCATGTATTTATATCACATTATCAACAAACATTACATTATAATATTATAACAATATAAAGCATTTCTATCGATAATAAACAATAATTATTAATTATTACAAACATTCTTCATAATTAAATAATTATATATTATCTGATTGGTACTTTGTACATGATATTGTTATTTGTTATGCTTTCGTTTCTTTATGACCTCCAAAACGTTTTAGTAATAAATCATATGATAAATTATTTTAATCGTTATCGTGTATTAAACTTCACTATATTGTATAGTCCATAAATCATAATAGTCTATAGACGTTAAAATATAATTAACAAATATTAAATAAGCTGCTAATTAAATAAGTATCATATAATACAAATACACCATGTGGAGCTAAAATCAATAGTTAAAAAGAAATTAGCTAAAGTTATAATAATAATAATAAATAACCAATAATTGCAAATAACATTTTTTCGACATCGTTTTGGTAAACATCACGTCTTTCGAACCAATGAACAAACTATCTTAAATATTATATTACCTAGGTTTATGCTATATGTTATCATCGTGTCGTTATAATTTTTTTTCTCTCCTTTTTCATTTCTATACGTCATAGCCTTGGGTTTAAAATAATAATATATATACTTACCTATAGGTAATATAATATAATATATTTTAGGTTCTCCAAGCATGATAAGATAAATATTATAATATATAATACGGTTTCATTGACGATGCAGACGGTTTAAGACGACCGAGTGCTGTAGCCGCAGTGAGAATAGGACCGACGTCTTATTATACCTAACTCGACGGCCAGCAGTCAGTCAAAGGACGCAAGTGTGTATAGGTACCTACCTATATCTACCTACATAAACGGCTTGTATATTTTTAATTCCGGGTGTTAATTCATCTGCTGCTATATCCGACCTGCACAGACGCCCACGAATCACGATCGCAGTTAATACGAAGGTATATTATAATATAGAAGGGTACATTAACTTTGACCGAGAACAGCTGTGTGTTGCAGTCTCCAGCTTGATCCGCTATCGTCTCGTCCTGTCTAGTGGAGCTACCTATACGCGCAAGGCTATATACATATTTTATTATCTGATTTCCCTGTCTGCGGCCGCAAGTATAGGTACCCGCGGCGAGGCTTGGCGATTATTTCATAATAATATACAACTGCTGCTGCAACTTGTTCCACTCGTCAACCCGACAACCCCGAATCCGTAACATGACGTGGGCAGGTGTTTAAAATTAAACATTATAAAATAATACATAATATTATTGTCGCCGCCGCCGCCGCCGTACATATTTTGATTTTTATAATAGCCTTCATAAATGGCTATGACGGAGAACGCCACGGGCCGTTAGCCGCTTTTACAACCGATATGATATAATAACATTATATAATAAAATATATTTACCGAGAGGAAACACGACGTCAAAACAGCCGTTCTGGGACCACCCCCTTCGGTCTGTCTTATGCGAAGGATATAGCTGCAAAAGTTTTGTCCGGTACCTTTTATATATACGCTCATATTATACGTCATAAATATTGTGTTATTGAAACTAAATGCGGCGTTTCGTCACCGTAGTTATTTAGCGGACGGCAATGAAGACGTCGACTGCATCATTAATATATGCATCTGACGATAAATTGTCTAATAATTACTGTTTTTATTTTTAATTTAAAATTATTCGACTTTGTGTGATTGGAGAAATCTATACCACCGGTGGTTTGCAATATTATAACAATATCTACTTATTTATTTCAGAATAACGCCCAAAAGGTAAACAGTAAAAGAACAAAAAACCAAAAATGTAGGTAGAATAGATAATATTAGGTTAATTTAGTAGGAATTAATAGAATTACGCATTATAATAATAAATTACAAAAATATTTTGAGCTCAACTAATAAATTAGGAATCATAAATTAAATCGTAATCTTTTATAGCATAGCAAGAGGATAATAATCTATCGAGTGGTGACTTCAGTTTGTAGTTACAACAGTGTGTCGGTGTATAGAAAAAGGGTAAACCTAGGGAAAACTTTGGGGAAAATATGTCAAGTAATAATAATCGTTCAAACCGGGTTTGAATAGTCTTAAAACAATACTATAATTACCATTCAATGTAACTCCCGGTTTGTGTGTAAAGTATGTAGGTGCATCAGTGCTTAAAATATTTAATAGAATTTATTTACTCGTAATTCGAATAGCGTAATATTATTATTAATATTTTTTATACTATTTCGGGGTGGTTAATCGATTGCGGACGCATCGCGATGAATGATTCGTTTAAAAATATTAATTGTTAGGCGTCTGGTTTTCTTTTTGAGCCACTCTCGTCCTGTATTATAATAGAAAGCATTGAAAAGTATGTACTGGTTATTGTAGGTACTATACTGGGTGATTCTTTTATCAAACAACACTCATTATTTCAAAAAGTGTGAATTTTTTTTGAAAATATTTTTTTACATAGTTTCAAGTCGCTTATAAAACAACGTTTTTATTAAAAAATTATATTTTTAAATATTTTTTATCCTTATAATTTTTTACGTTTTTTACTTTTTTGAATGACAACATAGGGTTTTAATTTTATATTCTAAAGTAGAATATTTTTCTTAGTATTTTGATACATGAAAATCGAATTTAGGTTGAGTAGTTTATGAGTTATAAATATTCAAAGTTTGATGAGCGGTGAAGTGGACAAACATTTCGAGGGGTAACCCCGAACCACTCCACTCCACTCGTCTAAACTTTAAATACTTATAACTCATAAACTACTCGGCTCAAATTCGATTTCAATGTATCAAAATACTAAGAAAAATATTCTACTTTAGAATATAAAATTAAAACCCTATGTTGTCATTCAAAAAAGTAAAAAACATAAAAAATTATAAGGATAAAAATATTTAAAAATATAATTTTTTTATAAAAACGTTGTTTTATAAGCGTCTTGAAACTATGTAAAAAAATATTTTCAAAAAATTTACACTTTTTGAAATAATGAGTGTTGTTTGATAAAAGAATCACCCAGTATAGATACCGTGGTAATTACCCAATCAATATATATAAAGGGATCACGTGCCCCATATTAGCGCCCATGTACCTAGGTATATACCTACAATGGTGTGCGTGTGCAAATTTGTGATAATGAAAATAAAACGAGTCACGGAGATGTCGCTAATGTAACAACGAGAATTTTGAAGGAATTTT